GGTGCCCCCAGGGCAGCTGTGCCTCCTGAGTCCTGGGGGGGGGCTGGGGGGGAGAGCAGGCCTCCAAGGCACGGAGGTCTGTGTGGGTGGGAGCCGGGCTCCGTTGAGCCAGAGGACAGCCCGTTGGTAGGGCAAGGCTGGGCCAGCCTTCGCCAGGGTAGGGAAGTCCGTGGGCACCTATAGTGTCCCGATCATGCAAGGTGATGGCATCGCTTTGCTCTGGTTAGACCTCACCTGGAGTATTGGGCTCAGTTTTGGGCACCGGAGTTTAAGAAGGATACGGACAAGCTGGAACGTCTCCAGAAGACGGCACTGAAGACATTACAGAGTCTGGGGTCTCAGCCCAGAGGCCTGTCTAACAGTCCCAACAAGTGACTTGCAGGCCCTCCCCCAATTCCCATGCACACGGTGCCTTATCCAGACTGCGACTGTGGAGCACACGGAGACAGGGGTCCAGACTCCCCTCCCAAGTGAGGGCCATTTTCCTTATCTGCCACGGTCCAAGTCAAAATCCGAAGAGTTTTCGGCTAAACATTAGGAAGAACTTCCTGTTAGAGTGGTTCCTCAGTGGAACAGGCTTAAGAACATAAGAGGTGCCAATGCTGGACCAGGCCAGTGGCCCATCCAGTCCAACACTCTGTGTCACACAGTGGCCAGAAATACCAGTGCCATCAGGAGGTCCAGCATTGGGGCCAGGACACTAGAAGCCCTCCCATTGTTGAACCCCCCAAGCACCCTTCCTTGGGAGGCGGTGGGCTCTCCTTCTTGGGAGGTTTTCAAGCAGAGGCTGGATGGCCCCACCTGACAGATTGTGTGAACTGAGGCAGGCCACGAGAAGGGAGGGCAGGAAGGGCTGCCTCAGCGCTTAGTTCTTGTGGCTCTTTCTTACACGCCCAGGGAAATGCTGGCGCCACTCTGGGGTCAGGAAGGGATCCCGGAGGTTCTTTGCCTTCCTCTGGGCACAGAGCAGGGGCCACTGGGAGAGTTGGGGGGAGGCAGTTGTGAATCTCCTGCCTTGTGCAGGGGGCTGGACTAGATGGCCCTGGAGGCTCCTTCCCACTCTGTGTTCCTGTGTTTCCCCCTCTTCTGCGGCCGAGATGCTGATGTTTCCCCTGGTAGGAAACTGGTGTGTGTGTGTGGGGGGGCCTGATGGGCCTCAGATGGGCCCATGTGGAGTGGAGCCCCATAGCCCGTTGGCCGAGCTGCCCCATCGATGCTGCTTTCCTGCGTCCCTGCAGGACTGGAGCACTGCGCTCGGTGGGCCTCTTTTGCTGGCCATGATGGGAAGTGGCTCGCGAGGGTCACCGCTGGCCTGGTTGCCTCGTGGCGAGTCCTCTTCGTGCAGCCGGGGCACTGAAGCAGACGCAGGGTGCCGGCTCTTCCTCCCCTGTGCGGTTTGTCTGGTACACACTGCTGTTAATTTTGGCACCCTCACTGTCGGAGCCTGCCCCTTCCCGCCCCTTCAAGGTCTGGAAGCCAAAGGGACAAAGCCCACCTACGTGGCCTGATGGAGGAAGGGGCCTTCTTTGTAACGAATGCCCTGCCCCTTGGGAGGTGCTGCGGCCGGTCTCCTGGTCCAGCCCCAGTGTGTCCCCCTCCCCTCCTTGCCTTTCCCGGCCTGTGGCAGAGTCATGTGCCAGAGCCCTGCTTCTCAGAGCCCTTCGGATGGGCGGGAGAGGGGGTTCGGTGTCCACTGGGCAAGAGTTTGGACCCCTGTGGATGGCTCAGGTGAGCTCTTCCACTCTCTGGCCTACGCAGCAGGGGCTGCCACAGGTGACAGACTGGTTGGAACGTTCTTGCATCGCCAGGCTGAGCCGCACGCAGCAGGGGAAGCCTCGGGAACAGCGCACAGAGCTCCTGGGTCTGGTCCTCTCTCTCTCCCCCAGGGACAGCAGCTCTTCATTGGGCAGATCACGGCTACTCGAGGTCTTCCAACGGGAGACGAATGGTGGGCTTGCCTGCCTGCTTGCCGTCCTCTCCATTAACAATAATGTAAGGAAATAGATGAGTAAATATAAATCATGTATGACTTAACATCACAGAAGGCTTTAAATATTTCTCAAATATACGACAGTATTCAATACAAGCCGTCTTTACGTTCATTTAGATGGAAGAGCACCTACGGAGTCAGGCTACACGTCTCCATCATGAACAAAGGAGAATAAGGCAGTCTTGAGACATTGCTGTACAATAAGACAGTTTGGAGGCATTATTGGCTGAGAAGTTCCTGTGGCTGTGCCTCTTTGGGAGCCCCTGTTGATGCGCAGTCCTGATGAAGGCATCGAAAACTCATTGAATAATCTAATCTGGAGGATGAGTCGACTGCATCTTATTTCTTATTGTTTGTCTCAAGTCCTAAGGACTGGATCCACTGGCTGATTACAACGTACTTTATACTGTTTATCTTGAGTCTTAAGAAGTGGATGTACTTGCTTTATGGACAATTGTGAAACAGGAATCTGTGAAGTCTTTCTTTTGGGAGTGTCCAGTAGTCAATCTTAGATATGGCTATAAATCACCAGCCTACTTCTTGTATTTCTTGTATTTCATGTATTGCATGCTGTTGTATATTTGAGAAATATTTGGAGCCTTATGTGACCTTACGTCCTCTCCATTAAAGCAAGAGCATTAATATGACCTGGCCATGATCCTCCCTGCTCTGGCAGTGACCTCCAGGTTAGATCACTGCAGTCTGTTCACTGCCCTTGAAAGCAGTTCAGAAACTTCCGTCCGTTGGTGCTGGGAGTCTGTTAGCTGCTGTGGGTCGCAGGTGGCAGCATGGAGCGCTGGTACATTGGCTGCCTCTTCACTTTCGGAGGCCATTTGGGGTGCTGGCTTTCAGCCGTGAAGCCCGAGACGGCTCCCCCGGAGGACTGCCTGTTTCCTCCAGGGGCCTTCTCTGGATATGTTTTGGCACCGAGCAAAGACTTCCTTCTTTCAAAGGGCTTTTTCACTTCTCTGTATCCCTGTTTGGTTGCTTTTCATCCGTTGCTTTGCAGTCTTATGCAAAGCACACACCGTTTGGTCTTATTGTTTTCCTGGCGCTGCTTGATTCTTACTACGGGGTCTACTTTAATAAAGAAACGCCAAGAAGAATGCCTGCCCTCCCTTTCCTTCCCCTCCTGGGTCACTGTGCGGGGCAGCACTGTTTATCTGTTTTATTTTATTTACTTCGGTTCCGCCTTTCTCCCTGCGAGACCCAAAGTGGCTTCCATCAATCTTCCGTCCTCCTCCAGTTTGGTGCCCGGCCTCTAATCTGGGAGAACCGGGTTTGATTCCCCACTCCTCCACTTGCACCTACTGGATGACCTTGGGCAAGCCATAGTTCTGGCACAGCTGTTCTCTCAAGAGCAGTCCTTGAAAGAGCTCTCTCAGCCCCACCTCCCTCCCAGGATGTCTGTTGTGGGGAGGGGAAGGGGAAGGAGATTGTAAGCCACTCTGAGACTCCGAGTGAAGGGCGGGGTATACATCCAATCCCCCTCCTTCTCCTCCTCCTTTAACCTCACAGCCGCCCTGCAAGGCAGGTTAGGCTGGGCACGTGTGACTGGCCTGAGGCCCCCCAGCTGGCTTCCAGGGCAGAGTGGGGATTCGAACCTGGGTCTCCCGGGCCCTAGTCCGACATTCTTAGCTCTCTCTGCACCATCTGCTTGGTCTGGCCCTACTTTATTGCAGCAGCCCCCATGTCAGAGATCGCCCCTTGGCACCGGTGGCAAATCCAGGGGACCCTGTGGCGTCCTTAGGCTCTGAGGGCCGTTCCTGCAGTGTCTGAGCCTTGCAGGCACGCGAAGCCCAGTGGGGTGTGTGGTTTCCTCCAGGTCTACGCAGATCTGTGGAGGAGCTGTTGTCCGTGGCATCTTTGGGCACTCGTGGCCTTGATTTCAGCTACCTGCATGCGTGGCTAATGTGACTGGTCACACAGTTGCACTGCTGGGCGTGGCTGTGGAGAGCGAGTTGTCATTACTGCGGCAAATGGAGTGACCGTCTGCACCCCCCCCCCCGCGGGGAGGAACTGCTCTGTGTGTGTGTGTGTGTCCCCCTCTCCTCTGGTTGCACCAACACGGTTAGCTGAATTCCAGCTTGCCTCAAATCTGCCCCCTTCTCGAGCTAGAGCTCTCCTGGGGGCTCCTGACTGGAAATCGGTCCGACCCCCCAGAGTCAGTTCCTTTAGTGGGAAGAAGGGAGGACCGCGGGGCATTTTGGACGCTGGCCTGCGGACCCGGCCTGTTCCGTGTGGGGCAAAGGAGCCATTTGTGATCCGTTACAGAGGTGAACGGAGGGGTCCCACCCAGTGAGCTGAGTTCCTGTGAGCTGGCTCACTGCTTTTTAGCCTCCGGCTCACACATTTCTGCCTTCGCTCAGGATGGAAGGAGGGCTCCAGAGCAGACTAACTGATGCAGCAGCCAAACCGCTCACTCACAACTTTCACGCCAGCAGCTCACAAGGTCGAATTTCTGCTCACAGGACTCCAGAGCTTAGAGGGAGCCTTGGTCCCTCCCCTCTCCGCCAGTGGCATTCGGGCGAGTGAAGAAAAGCCCTTCCCTGTAGCAGGTGGGGTGTGGGCATTGCTGGGTGCCATTTCCTGTCTGTATCTGCCAGGAGGACGCGGAAGGAGGGGGGGAGGCTACAGCGCCCTCCCTGCCCCTTGTGACCCCCGCCCAGTCCCGGCCTGGATTCTGTTCCGCGGACAGGCTAGGAAGGGTGGTGGGATTTCTCAGCATTTGTTGGTCTCCTGCCCGTCCCGCAAGGCGTTCAGGACGGTAAAGATGGCTCCCTTTCCCCTCGTGGCCCCGACAACAGCCCCGTGAGGGAGGCCAGGCTGCGAGAGAGTCCGCCTGTTGCTGATGGGAATCGGAATCCACCCTGGGGGGGCAACGGAGGGGTCTCGCGGTGTGTGCAGCCCCAGCCAAGTTGCCCTCGGAGCTCTCTGACTGGCTGAGTCTTTGTGTCTCGAACTCTGGGCTGCAAGAAGCAACCCCTTTGCCGTCTGCTTTCTCTTTCAGTATCCGCAGCGTGATGCAGAAGTATTTGGAGGAAAGAGGAGAACTGACCTTTGACAAGATCTTCAACCAGAAGATTGGTAAGTTGCCTCACTGGGGGATCAGAACTGGGCAGGAGACAGCCCATCTTTCCCAACGTCTGGGTCCCTTTGGGGGGCAGTTTTTCTTTTCCTTGGTGAAAACTGTCCTCAGCTGGACCCCCGCGGCCTTTGCCCCCCCTGCTCTGGGCCCCTCCCGTGTTTGCTCAAGGCCCCTGCGGGGGGGGGGGCACCAGGAAAGCTGCAGAGGCAGGCAAACAAAAGCCCCCCTCCCCCCCCCAGTACTGATGAGATTGCCCCCTCGTCCTCTTGTTTCCTCCGGTCCATCCTGCAGGAGTCTTTCAGCTTCTGGGTATATTTACATCGCAGACTTCTGCTAGTTTAATGATTGTTCCCCTGGTTTTTTGGATGGGGAGGGGGGTGGCAGTGGAGAATTGTTGCCCTCTCCAAGCTGGAGTTCCCAGGATTCCTTAAGGGAAGCCACAGAAGTTAAGTGGGTATAGCAGGGACAGGGCCTTTCCTGTGATGGCCCCCCTGTCGTGGAGCTCCCATCCTCGTGTCACCTTGGGGAGCCCGGAAAACTTTCTGCTGTTTAATTCAGCTTGCCTTGGTGATGGGAAGGGGGGGGTTTGTGTGTGGGGACCCGCCCTCTTTTCCTTGTTTTTCTTGTTCATATTGTAATGCAGTGGCTTTTCTTTCATTATGATTGCTTTTTGGTGTGGCTTTGCGTTTGTTTTTTCTGTTTTGGAAGCTGCCCCAAATACCTCTTGGGGTGGAGAGACAGTGTAAAGGTAAAAGGACCCACGTAATACCATTCGGTTTTGGGGCGTGTGTCATGCAGATAATGCTGTTGGCACGTTGCTGTGGTGGTCCTGAGTAAAGGGGTGGCCTCCCCTTCTGCGGTGGGGGTTCAGGGGGGGAGGGGGTGGCTGCGTGTCAGCGTGCATCAGGGCACTGGCGGGAGCTGTAGCACTGAAGGGGGCGTGTCTGGGGGTGCATGACCCCTTCATCTCGCACGTTCCATGGAAGGGTCTTGTTCCAGCTTTGAGTCACGATGGCCGCTTCTTGCAAAGGATTCGGCACCATCGTTTGGAAACATCCAGAAAGTGAATGGTGGCACGTTGTGGCTGCCCTCAGAATGCTGCAATTGTTCCCCCCTCCAAAAAAAAGCCTCCTCCCTGGCTCTCTGATGGGTTGTGTAAACTGGTTGCCAGGCCTGTTGTGTTGGAGAAAGAGTCCTGTCGATGCGGAACGCTTGTTGGTGCGTCGGTCTCCGTGACGCGCTGCACCCCCTGCATAATCAATGCGCTGTTGCCTAGCACTGGTCAAATATACACAAGTGCTGCTTCCAGCGCTGCCACCAAATAAAGAGCGGCTTCAGCGAGGCTTCGGCCTGTTGAGGAAGCGGCTCCCGGGTTGTCCCCGGTGACCTTGAGCGCTTCAGAGTCTCTTGTCTGCCGGAATCTGGAGGCACCTTGGCTGGGATTCAAGAGCAAAGAGTCAGTTGAAGCGTTTGCACCGGAAGCAGCTCTGAGGATGGGAGATACGGCCCACTGGTTCCGGTAACCCCGATCTGTAGTTCCAGGCTGCTGCTGCAGTTGCCTGTGGGTGTGGAAGCGTTGCCTCTTGCAGTGGCTCTCTGGGTGGGGTCCAGAAGGCACGAGGCATTTTTTGTGCTGAAGGCACCTCCTCTGGCAGGAGAGAGCAGGACACAGCAGTTCCCCGTCTGGGCATGAGTGTGGTTTATTGATGGATTGATTTGATTTCTATACCGCCCTCCCCATAACGGGCTCAAGGCGGTGTGCATCAATCAATATAATACAAAACAATATTAAAATGACAGATCGCACAGAATAATATCATAAAATACCCTGTAAAAATGGAGAGATCAGATGTCAGTCAAGTCCAGGTGCCTAATCAGATATCTAATCCGATCCGGGCCACTGAGGGAGGGAGGGGACGCCGGCTGCCTCAACCAGATGCCCGGTGGAAGAGCTCCGTCTCGCAGGCCCCGCGGAACTGCAATAAGTCCCGCAGGGCCCTGATCTTGTAAGGGAGCTCATTCCACCAGGTGGGGGCCCAGGGCTGAACAAGCCCTGGCCCTGGTCGAGGCTATCTGGACGCCCCTGGGGTTCATACCGGGGGGGGGGGGAGGTGGTCCCGAAGGTACGCTGGTCCCTGGACCAACAGCCTTCTGAAAGCATTGTGCAAACGGCAGAGGCAGGGAAGGGCCGCCTGGGGCAGGCGCTAGAAGCCACCCACACAGGTGCCTTGTCTGGTCCTCGGGGCCAGCGGGGTGGGTGAAATGGGGCACCCATCTGCGAGGGAGCTCTCCTGCCCGTGCCCAATCGAGCTACGCAGCAGATGCCCGTGTGTGGCTCACGTCCATTTGAACGAGCCTGGCACAGGAGGACGGTGGGTGGATTGTGCCCCCCCCCGGTTTCCACGCCTCTGCCCCCCCACCTGTTAATGTGTTGTTATATTTTTAATCCCACTTTCCTCCCCAAATTGGCTTACGAAAACTGCACTTTTAGACACATCTACATAAAACACAAGACCTCCTGGGGTGGGTGCTCAGTGGGTTAATCCGTCTGGCCAAGGCCATGGGCTGAGAGCCCACCCGCCCCAGCTTCCAATCCCCGCACCAGGAGAGTGAGACGCTCACGAGATATTTCAAGCTGGCTGCCACCTCCCTCCGGTTCCCCCTCTGCGCCGTGTGCCCATCGCGGCCAATGCTCCCTCTAAGCTGTGGAGTCTTGTGAACAAAAATTCTACTTTGTGAGGTGCTGGTGTTAAAGTTGTGAGCAAGTGCTTTGGCTGCTTCCTCCCGGGGGCGGACTCGGAGGGAGGGGGGAGCGCAACAACTGGGAGTCTCCTCCGGTGGCACCGGGAACTCTCTCCCGGCTCCACTTGTTCTGCTCCACACCCGATTTGCTGCCCGGCCAGCCGGAGGACGCGGGGCTTTGCACGGGTGCCAGCCAAGGCCAGAAGACACCTGAGCTCCTTCCGTGCTCTGGCCCGTGTGGCCTTGGGGTGGGGGTGGGGCACTTGGCGGCGGCGGTGGCAGCAGCTGTGCGGGCAGGAGAGTCGTTTTGCCCCTGCAGTTTCCCTGCAGCAGATGGGAAGGGACTGAATCAAGGAGGAGGATGTTGATCAGCCAGTGGGGGGTTGGTGGGTGGGGGCCCTCTGCGTGGAGTGCTGAGCTTGCCCTGGGGAGCCCCCCCCATTGAAGTCCCTGCTCACTGGGTGGTCTTGGGCTAATCTGTGGCTTTCCCGCCTGGGAGGCTGCAAGGAGGAAGCCCCGCAGCTGCTGCCTGGATGTATTCAAGTTATCCGCCCCCAAAGCCCGATGGATCCGAAGGGCTTTCTGATGGCTCACAGGAGATTTCCCTGTGGATATGGTGGGTTGATCCTCCTATCAGTGCCTTGCTTGACCTCCGGAATGAGTTTTCTATCCCCCTCCCCGCCCGCGTAGCCTGTGGCACCCTGAGAAATGCAGGTCAAGCAGGACTTGGGAGCTGCCAGGTGGCAGGGCCATTGCTCTGGGCTCCTCCCCCGAATAAATTCTGCAAAATATCTGCACAGCCAAGGTGCGTGTTTCAGAAAGTCAAAGGAACGGACCTTATTTTAGTACAGGAGTTGGCGGGTTTGTGTTGTTTTTTTAAAAGCACATAGCCGAAAACATTCCTGTAACGATTTCATGTTTATTTGTGTGTGTGTCTTTAAAAGTTTGGTTTACATTGCTGTGTGAAAGTCTAGTGTGGTTGAAACAGGCAAGTGGTGTGATTGGTGAGTGACAGAGAGGGGGAGGGGTTTTGGAATGGACGCTGTGTGGATGATTGGAATGTCTATCAGAGGTGACTGTTGGAGATATGACAGTTGATGCAGACAGTGGAAGTTTGTTAAGCAGTTTTGTCCTGAGGTCTCTGAGAGAAGTTTTCCTGTGTGGAATAAAAAAGTAAAAGTCTCTGTGTTAAGCAGACGGTTAAGTTCTGTGTAAGAGAGGAGAGACCCATCCCTGTGTAGGACGAGTTAGTTCATTATATGAAAGAGTGTTACAAAGTATATGCATGAATCCCTGAGAGAGAACTGAAAGTGCTGTGCCATGATAGTGTGAGAGAGAAAGGAGTATATATTTGTAAAGTGAATCTACAGTTCTTAAAGAGAGTCAAAGTTACAAAGAGTGTGATACAGTTGACAAGTACTTACAAATACCTATTTCCCAACCAGTTACAGTTTAAACAACTTCTTACTCTGTTCTTCAAATAAATCCTTTTTAGTTAAGTTTATCCCAGAAGCCTGATCCATTATTCCTCAGGAAACACATAGTTCCTTGAACGCCTAAACTCTCGATCCACCTACCCTGTGATAGGAATATTATAGTAAAAGGTTTGGAAAGCCTAATAAAATTTCCTGGTGGCAGCCGTATACCCAAAGTAAAATAAAACATAAGAACACGTTTAAAGGAAAACCAGACCTCCCCAGAGAAGAGGTTGTCACAATTCCCATTTTAAAATCTTGTGTGCCAGCTTTCTAACTTCAGAAAGGTCTTTTAAGGTGACTTGGAGCAATTTAATACTGTTTAAACTTTTGAGCCGTCACAAGTAAAAAAGAAATACTCAGGCTGTGTGACGGCAGCATCAAAACCGAGCCCCCTGCCTCTTGCCACAGCAGTCGGAAATAATGCCACGCTCAGACTGTCGTCTTGACAGGCCCAGTAGGGTCAGGAAGTCTCTGAGTCCCCCGTGCCCCCTCCACAGCCCTGACTGCTGTGCTGCTCGGCCGCGTCGACCTTCCTGGCAAATGACAGAAATATTCGGCTGCTGTTGGCCTCCAGAGTAAGGAGGCCCTGAGTGGCCAAAACTACCAGGTGCCCTCAGGAGGTCCAGCAGTGGGGCCAGATGACACTAGAAGCCCTCCCACTGTTGACCCCCCCAAGCACCAAGAAGACAGAGCATCATTTGCCCCAACCTGAGAGTTCCTATCTATACCTTGTGGCTCATAGCCCCTGATGAATCTCTGCTACATATGTTTAAGAACAT